TCAGAGATAGCTTGCTCTCGAATCACGGTTCAAATCTATGTGTAAGCCACATGTACATTTTTTCTTTGATATTTCAGTGATGTTTTTGTGGTCGGCAAAATAGCAAGAAACACGTCCTAAATATGTCGATGACGAAGAATCATTCGTTTTAATAAATATGGAAAACCATACAGGCGGCAGGGGTGGCAAATTCGCTACATGGCCATTGAGAATAATGCAGAGAGAGTCACTTATACTCATAGGTACGTGTGGAGAAATTACTAAAAACTGCAGGAACTTAGCGCTGTATAACTGCAGTTTTTAGAAACTTCTCACACAACTCAGTATAAGTGTCTCTCTATGTGGGTTATTCTCAATGGCCGTGTATAGATTACATTTAGACTAATAAAAGTTCAGCGAATCCAATTAGGGCGTTCTAAATGACTGACGGTGCCAGTTTGGCAGTTGCTTGCCACCCCTTACACCCACACCGAAATTTACAAGAGTTTTTTTTTTTGAGTGTGTGACCTTTGTTATCCAACAGTTAAACTTTCTGCAACGAGCCACAACGTATAATGTGCGTGGACCTTGGATCTGAACCTGCACTGAAAAAAGTATTATCTTATTCCAACACTACATACTCAATAGGCAGTAGTTTTTTTCATATGTATGCACTTTCACACTTTTTCTTTATTTGCTACTCAAAATAACGGAGCCAAACTCAAGTTTCAAATGAAAACTTTCCTAACTAACGTCAAGTGTGATACCTACACGGTATTGCACCACACTTTTCTAGAGATGCTACTCTATCTGCGAACTAGCTCATTGATAAGCATTTGATTTTTACACCTAAAGCCGTATTTCCGATCAATGTAAATTTAACAGCTTAGGAAAGCACCATTTGAAAAACAACTGAAACAAACATGATAATCAATACTGATAAAGATTCAACCAACTGGCTTCTCTTTGTCGTAAGTTTCTAGTTTGCTTTATTTTTTTGAGCATCAATGGTGGACACCTCATTAAACAAAAGTATTTAATTATTTCGTCTCATTTTTTTTTTTTTTTTGCATTATCCCAACACTTCCCAATCTGAACCACATAACAACGATATCGTCGTCGTTTACGGACTGGCCCCCGCTGCTGCTGATCGTGATATGCAAAACAGTTGCTGCCATTGTGCGTCGTGCTCAGCAGCCCGCGAATGGCTCTCTTGGTTGTATCATCTACATTATATTGCAGGTCCACTCAGCACTATTATGCACAAATAATGGCAGCTCAATGACTGGCCGTGAATCCACCAGCGACGTCATTCAGCGTGTTCTACACACGTTCACATCGTTTATCGTCGTCATCGTCATTTTTCGAACAAGCGCTACTACCACACTACTGCTACTAATACTACCGGGCAGTGTGTACGAGAGAAAAGTCAAGCCTGGAAAAGTGAGCGTTTAGATTGGGGGGCTTGTTATTCAAAAAGTTACCCGGAAAAGGCACATGCAAGAGTGTGAAGGAAATCGAATGCAATTCTGGTGTGCGTATTAAATATATATCAGTGCCAACATTTCAAAGGGGCGTAATTGCTTTTGTAAACAATGGCTTTAGCTATCAATTTCTCGCAAATAAAAGTCCATCCCTCCAAATTAACAATGCTAGCTGGTAAAGGAAACATTCCTCTACCTGCTGGTGTCATTAATCTTCATGAGTAAGTTTTAATTCACGAGAAATCGACGGCTAAAGTCATTGTTTATAAATGCAATTACGCCCCTTTGAAATGTTGACACACCACATGTTCAGTTTCGCATCAACATGACATGATGCTGATTTCGGGCGCTTCGGCAGCTGATAATTAATGTAGAATATAAAAAAAGTATTATGCTCGCTCACAAGTAAATACCGTCGCGCGGGGCTACTTTGGACACATTCGAATTTGTTGAACCAAATGAAATAGATTAAAGAATCGATTGAATGTTTATCCACAACTTGCTACTGGGACTGCAGTATTCTCGATCATATGAAACCCTCAGAAAATATTATTAAGCGCTTCTCAGAATCAAGCGGAAAAACTTACCAACGAGTTTTATAAAAAGTGTACCTTCTCATAAATTTGGCCAGGTTACATGATTTATGGCCACATAACAAAAAGAGAGTTGATCACCCCAAAAATTCATGATTTTTTTTTAATGTTCTGTTAAACCAGTTATTTCCCTGATCTGATTTTTGATAATTTTGCACAATAATCACCCCAAAAATTCATGATTTTTTTAATGTTCTGTTAAACCAGTTATTTCCCTGATCTGATTTTTGATAATTTTGCACAGGTTGTTTATTTTTGTATGGAGTTTATGATTTCGATTGTTTCGCAAAACTAATGAAAATTTACCACGTGTCCAAAGTAGCTTCTCTGTTTCCGTTTCACTGCAGTTGTGATGACTATATGGCAAACATTTTCTACAATCGCTCATATGCTTCTCATTACACATCACAAAGGTGTCCCTTGTGGATGTACACCACATCATTTTATTATTTACTTTATTTATTTCATAAGAACATGTTAAATTTCGCTTATACCAAAAAAGTGTCCAAAGAAGACCCGTTCGACGGCACGCTAAACATCCCACGGAGTGTTACGGATAAGGTTGTAAATTTCATGATTGTTCCCTAGAAGTAGAAGTCAGGCGAGGTTAGTAAGTACTAATTGATTTAAATAGACTATCTAATGATTAGATTGACTCAGAAGAGAATACCAAGGATTTTCAAAGAAAATTTCAAAGGTTTCTAAGGAGAACTACGAACGATTGCTGAGGAGAGATTTGACTAGAGTTCAGATAAACTATTGAAAATATTTGAAAAGGGATCGATTTCTCAGGATAGTTTCAAAGGTTTCTAAAAATAATTCAAATTAAATTATTAGGAATTTTCAAAGGAATTCCAAGGATAATTCCAAGGTAGTAACGATGAGAGTTTTCTGGTAAGTTTAGGAAACAATGCATGATAATTCTGAGCAGAAATCCAAGGTAATTCAGGGATAAATGAATTCTGAAAAGAATTTGGTGATAATTTTGATATTGAGCCTTTCAAAAAATGCGGATAATATTAAGTTAAGGTTGAGTTAGCAAATGTTTGTTTCTAATACCCAGCATCATGAATATTTTCCATGTAAGAAATTGAAAAAAATGAATAGACACGAAAAATCAGATACAAATAATACTGAGGAATTAAATCCCAAAAACATAAGAATAACCAATGGAAAATATGCATGTTTTACTTTAGGTAATAACTCGCTCTGTTTCACAAGTTGATTCTAAAACTCTGGCGTTAGAAAATCACCGAGTGTTAAGATTTATTGATTTGTCCGTTTTCTCTCGTGGAATTCCCTGCTTTTCCCCGGATACTTTTCAAATTCCCGGTTATTTTCCGGTTTTCCCGGTTCGCTGGCTACCCTGGTATACCTTACGAAATCTATAAAGAATACAACGTGATTGATAATGTTGCTCTATTAGCACACCAGCACACTGATACGCGGAGTAATCTCGATGACCTATCCGAGAGCTGTTCTACGGTGTGTCTCACTATCAATTCAACAAGTCTAAATCGTTGGATGCCACGAACAACCCTTCCAACTATACATTAGCTATGCAAGCCATAGGGAAAGTTGTAGATTTCCAATACCTTGGCACCAGAGACCGTATAACCAAACCAAGAGTAAAATAGATGCCTCGTTGCCTCACACCTGGAACTCGAACGCCGAGCTCAGTGTCATCAAAAGCCGATATCAACGAAAAATCGAGAACGAAAGTTAAGGTGTGTCGACCACACCCTACGAAGGGGGCAGAAATGTAATCTACAAGCAAGCGCTGGATTAGAACACAGCATGAAATCGCAGCAGAGGCATACCCAGGCAAAGGAGCCTCAACAAATAAATCAAGGGTTGGTTGGAAATGCTATCTAACATAGACATACTTCAAATCACCGCATACATCGTACGGGTTAGGCAAAGAGTGTGCGTTTGACTTTGCATTAATAGCCCTTCGCTCATTTTCAATTTTTATACTGCCGTACTCTAACGGAACTATATACCTATATTCTTCTAAGACTATTATCTAGCTAATGAATCATCACACTAAAGCTTCATGTTAGATAGCATTTCCAAGCAACTTTGAAAATCGCAAACTTCGCGTATGAAGTAACATAAAAACACTTTGAAAATAAATCAAGAAAGTTGACAGAAATCTGACAAAAGTAAGCACCCGCCCAGGATGGAAGTCTATCGCGTTGCCCCTAGTGTAGGTGTGTAGAATACTTGAGTGAATGAGTGAGTTCCTAATTTTCTCCGAAAAATTTAGGCTCTCAGAGAACATCGGTTTAAAGTAGTTGATCAAATACGAATTTCATACTTCTCGATCAACAATTGAAAAAGTTCTATCAGTTTTTGTAAACAAAACTTTTGGTTTGCGTGGGTGGCCTACGCTTTACGAGGAATGGGCTTACAACGTTTTGTTTACAAACCCTGATAGTCCCTTTTCAATTGTTGGTCGAGACTTTACCCTCTCAAGCGCGTTTTAATATATAGTTAAAACAAGTTTAATCACAATATTATACTGAATATCAAAAGTACCTTTTTTGTCGTTCAATGATTAACATGTCACCTTGATCGGTAAATAATGTGAAGTGTGCAAGAATTGGGTGGTGTGCAACAATTGGCAACTTACCCTAGAACCCTTAGCATGCTAATTTTTGCATTCCAATTGAAAGGGAATCGTCAGGGCTTTCATTTGGCATATTTATTTTTTTTAACGGAAATTCGTCATATTGGATTTTTTTCGAAGAAATCAGCTTTCCATAAGCACCATAATCACCATCTAATAATTTTGCTCGAAATACAAAGAAAAAAATCATATAATTTAATCGAATAAACGGTGGATATGTTCACACAATTGTTATGGTCAAAATTCCTACCAGACAAAATTTGATCTCAAAATTTGCACGAAAAAAAACTGAACCAAAACAAAACTACTCACCATCGTCGATCCAAGTCCCGGCATTGTCCTTCGGTCCGCAAAGCCTCGTTGTCCACCAAAGAGGTTGCTCCTCGCGTTCGCCCCACTGGACGCGGACGAGTTCGAGGAGGAAAGCTGCTGGGACTGCTGCTGGGAACCGTTGGTACTAGCACTAGAGGTCGCAGGGTTCGCACTGCTTCCGCCAACCACGCCGCTTCCACCACTGCTGGAGCCACCACTCGAAGCTCCACCGCTTCCACCGTTCCGCGTCCCAACGGTACCTGGTGACAGTTGCGGGGGTTGATTCTGGCCGCCTTGACCCACCGGTTGCTGCCCCTGCTGCTGCTGCTGCTGCTGTTGCGAGTGAGGTGGTTGACTTGCTCCGAAACTCCCTGCTCCCGTTGCTGCCGTTGGAAACATACCAGACGTTGGTGTGACATGGCCCGATAATGAGCTATTACCGAAACCACCCGCAGTACCTCCTCTCCCACTCAACGATGCACTACTTGGTATACTTCTCGGAGGCTGTTGGAAATTCAAGTTTGCCATAACCTGCAGGTTTCAATTCAACCATCATCAACCAGACAGAGGGTTCGCGTTAGGTTCCATCGATATCAGCGTCGTTGTTGGTGGTGTTTCGTTTGGCATTTTCGATGTCGTCGTCATGGCATGAATCGAAGTAGAACGCGTATGAAAAGAGAGAAGGAAGAAAGAAAAAAAAACTTGAATTAATGCACTTCTTCTCAAGATTCGTTTGTTTCATCGCTGGGACTACAACATGATGCACACATACACAGAGGGCCGTTCCCCAATTCCACACACAATCCCTTTGCTCGACGCCCGCGAGTTCCCAAGCGACGCCGGCTGCCATAGCTTTTTTATGGCCTACAAAAAAAAAATACGGATGGGAGCATCAAAGCGCAGAGTCGGAGAGAACGGAAAGAATTTCTTCTATCGGACAATGGGATCTCAACATCACTTCGAAGGCCATTGTGTTACAATTTCTTTCTTCGACTTCGAACTGATTCTCTTGTTTCTTTCATTCGACGTGGGGTGGCAAGAAATTCGAACGGAATAAATTGTGCAAACTAAATGCACGAAAGCGATTTATCCGCTCTCGTAATAACAACTATGCCAAAGCCAACCCGCGCATTGCTCACATTAGACGAGAGTTTTGCTTCACTCGTTAAAACAGAGGAAGACATTTCGGTGACATTGTGGTGACATGGCGAATGATAGAGCGCAAAGGGTCCTCTCAAAAAGAAGTGCAGCTTTTTTCGACTTCTCTTGTTTCTACCCTGTTGGTTGCGCTACGTTGACGAGCCCGTTAAGCCCCACACGCCCCACACAGTCGACGTAGATGGTCGAATCCATCCACACCCATCGTACGTACGGAGGATTGTTTTGTCTATGGGACAGTGGGAAGACCAGAAGAAAAACAACAGAAGCTATTGTTCGAAGTTTTTCTGTGCACTTCAACCGGCTTACGAATAATTATTACTAAATTACCTAGTGCTGAATACCTAGTGAATTCTTAAATTAAGTAAAATACACAATCTTATACTAGTGAATTATCGATTGAGTTCGGGCAGAAAATATTTTTTGCTACTGCAGGTTAATAACGTAAAGCGGTATAACTAAATCTTAAACTAATTATAAAATTACCTAGGAATATTGCGATACGGCCTAAGAAAAGACCGAGAAAGGTGCTTAAACTACGTTAAATCGACAAGTGAAGGTGAAAATTAAACTAAAAATGTTGGTTTAAGCTTATGAACTACAGTTATGATCTAATTAGACACAGGAAATACAGCTACAACTTGGACAGAACATTTAGACTAAAACGTTGAGCGGTATAGAATCACTACAAGTAAGGAACGATCTCATACTCAATCTAATTACAAATAATTTCAAATATGACATTTATATTAGGAATTTTGTAATTCAATAAAACTGAATACATTGAATTGACAAAATCTCGATTCGCTTGCTACCGCACAACATCTTACAAAATTCTTGTAAGCACGTCGAGGATGTCTCGCAAATCGTCAACCAGATCCAGGTCGGAATTGAGTTCTGTCATGGGTGCGGTAAGCCAACTTTTCGGTACAGGCGATGTGGGTAGCGCAGCAGACAAGGACACGGGAACTCCAATAACCGATGCAGATGTAGTTGCCGGGATCAACAGTCTCACTATCGTGACCAACGCGAAACGCGGAGCGAAGGACTCGATGAAATCGGCAACAGGCGCAAAGAGCGATGCAGCTGTGGTAAAAGTAGTTCCTCCCCCTCCTAGTCCTCAGGTAAATCTTGACGTTGCCAATACCAGACAGGCCCATGTAAAGGGAGCCATACCCAAAATAAAGGTTAGTGCTACTACTAAAGTCAATCCCGTCCGGTCGTCAAATATTGTCGTTAACGCGAGACCCAACGCTCGACTTGATCTGAACCAACGCGTTCATATAACTCGGTACAGTCATTGCGAGTTGTGTAGTGAACGTGATACTAGTAGAATGGTGCAGTGTGATGGTTGCGATAAGTGGTATCATTTCTCTTGTGTAGAAGTGACTAGTGGCATAGCGGACTACAGCTGGATTTGTCCAAAGTGTCCATACATGCATTTCGGCGCAAGTCATCAAGAGCAGCAGACACCAATGCTCCAGCAGATTCAACCGGTAGATCCACCCCCCAACTCTGTAAGTTCAAAGAAGTCCACCGGAAAGGCAAGCAGTAACCGGAGCAATCAACGGAAGGTCGATCGACTATTGCAGAAGCTGGAAGAGCAGAAGCAGTTGGAACAAAAGTTTTTGGATGAAAAATACCGCATTTTGGATGAAGAGGACGCTGACGATGAAACTGTCGCCAGTGATGATGATGTAGGATCCGAGGAGATGTCCAAAGTGAGAGGATGGCTGAGAGATACGGAAAAGTGTGGTGAAGATTATGATTCCGGTCTGGTGGAAGAAGAGTCGAACGATGATCAAGTGCAAGCTGTCATTCAGCAGGCACCGACTATGGGGCAGACGGAACCGCAATCATCTCTACATGGTTTCGTTCCTAACCAACGTTCAACGCCTCAAGAGACCGTTCGTATGGATCCGAGGTTGAGGAGCCGTGTAATGCAACCTTCCGTTCCAGCACCGATCCCTGAAAGCCTGTTCCGCCGACCACCGGCACCAGTTCCAGAGGAGCCATTTCGTCAGCCTGTTGTTCCAGATACCCAGTTCCGTCAACCACCAGCCACAGCTCCAGGAGTCCAGTTCCGTCAACCACCAGCCACAGCTCCAGGAGTCCAGTTCCGTCAACCATCAGCCATAGTTCCAGAAGTCCAGTTCCGTCGACCACCGGCACCTGTTCCAGAAGGCCTGCTCCGAAGGTCGCCTTCGCACACGCTTCCAGAAGACCAGTTCTACCGACCACAAGTACTTCGGTCAGCTGCAGCTTTAGAAACACATAACTACCTGCCACAGGATCTTCGGCCTGCTCCAGCTCCAGGAATCCAGTTCCATCATTCGCAAGTCCCTCGAGTGGCTCCAGCTCCAGGAGTTCAGGGCATTCGGCCGCCACCTGCTGCACCAAATGAACACTTCTGGCCAGAACCAACAATCGTCCCGGAAAGCCAGTATCGTCAACCTTCAGGGTCAAGGAATGAAATGCTTCAAGGAGATTCAACATCCCGAGGTTTCGGAAATCCGGAACCAGCTGCTCGCAATGTCGAAGAGAACGTGTGCATCCTCAACCGAAGCCAGTTAGCAGCACGTCAGGCTGTATCCAAGGAGTTACCGGAGTTTTACGGAAATCCTGAAGATTGGCCGCTGTTCTTCTCCATGTACAACTCTTCAACGAAGATGTGTGGCTTCTCCAACGAAGAAAACATGCTTCGGCTTCGAAAATGCTTGAAGGGCAAGGCTCTAGATGCTGTACGATGCCGGCTACTCCACCCATCCAACGTTATCGGTGTAATTTCTACGTTGAAAATGCTATATGGAAGACCAGAAGCAATCGTTCAGGCATCAGTTAGGAAGATTCGGTCATTACCATCGCCACAAGTGGAAAAACTCGACACTCTTGTCAATTTTGCATTGACGGTCGAAAACTTGGTAGCTACGATAGAGGCATGCGGCGTCGAAGATTTCGTATACAATGCGTCTTTGAAATGTGAGCTAGTGGATCGTCTTCCTCCTGGGCTGAAGCTGGATTGGGCGAAGTATTCCAGAAATAATGCAGCACCAAATCTGCTTGATTTCAGTTATTGGCTGTACTCGATCGCGGAAGATGCTAGTTCAGTTATGCAAACTTCGTTCAGCACGCAAAGAAGTCGTGGAGCAAAGAATGATGGATTTATCAATGTCCACTCTGAAGCAGAATCAGAACTGTCCCGATCAGCAGCTGCAAAGACTCGGGGTATCCACGGATCATCATCAGCGCCAATGACAGAATGCATCACATGCCGAGGTCATTGTCCGTCAGTTGCAAAGTGCAAAAGATTTGCTGAGTTAAGCCTAGTTGCAAAGTGGGCTGTTGTACGAGAGAGAAAGCTGTGTCGCAAATGTCTGCGTAAGCACAATGGATCATGCAGGCAGCAAAAACCGTGTGGGATCAAAGGATGCATCTTTTTGCATCATCCGTTGTTGCACAATGACCACCAGGAGGTTGAAAAGGAACGTTCTGGCCAAACCTTTGCTACCGGAAGTTGCAATATTCACCAACTTCAAACTAGCGAAGTCCTGTTCAGGATTGTTCCCGTGCTAATCCACGGTCCATCAAAATCCATCCAGACATACGCGTTCATAGACGACGGTTCAGAGCTGACACTGACGGAAGATAGCCTTGCAGAGGAGCTTGGCGTAAAGGGGCCTCGAACACCGCTGTGCTTAAAATGGACGGGTGGTACCAAGAGAGTGGAGAATGAATCCCAGAAGGTGGATGTGGAAATATCAGCCATCGGAAATACCTCGAAGTCGCACAGGATGTCCAACGTACATACGATTCAGAACCTACAACTTCGGCCGCAAACGTTAGTGTATTCTGAGTTACTGCAACGGTATCAACACCTCGGTGGACTACCTGTCGAATCCTACAGTAACGTATGTCCTCGAATCCTGATTGGGCTTGACCATGCGTCGCTTGGGCATGCTATGAAAAGTCGAGAAGGAAAGCCATACGAACCTATCGCCGTCAAAACACGCTTGGGATGGATAATCTACGGGAGTTGTTCACGAACACAGCGAAACCAAAACTACGTGAATGTCCATACGATTAAAGTATGTGAGTGCAATCTTGATTCCGACGATAACCTGCACACCGCAATGAAGAACTACTTCACTCTAGATAGCCTTGGAGTGGCAAAACCAGAAAAGATTTTGCGGTCAACGGAAGAACAACGTGCCTTGGAAATGCTCGAAAAGCTGACAATCCCAAAAGAAGGGCGGTACGAAACGGGACTCCTCTGGAAGTACGATGATGTTCGCTTTCCAAGTAGCAAAGGAATGGCTTACAGAAGATGGCAGTGTTTAGACCGGCGCATGAAGCGGGATGAGGAGTTTGCAAAAACCGTGACGACGAAGATGGATGAATACGTGGATAAACGCTACGTTCGGAAGTTGTCGGATGATGAACTCAATATGCATCAGTCTAAGGAATGGTACTTACCCGTGTTCCCTGTTGTGAACCCCAACAAACCGGGTAAGGTACGGCTAGTCTGGGACGCAGCTGCTCCTGCTTATGGCGTTTCACTCAATTCGCTGTTACTCAAAGGCCCTGACCTTTTGACGTCGCTACTTGCAGTTCTCGTCCAGTTTCGTGAATTCCGGATCGCAATTTGCGGGGATATCCGGGAGATGTATCTGCAGGTTCTACTGAGGCAAGATATTCGACTGTGCTTCTTCTGGAAGGGCGATGAAGGCAACGCGGATCCTAAGGTGTACATCATGTTGGTGTTACCGTTCGGAGTGTCGTGTGCTCCAAGCATTGCGCAGTACGTCAAAAACACCAACGCCCAACGGTTTGAGAAGGACCATCCCACCGCTGTTCAAGCTATCGTCGACCAGCATTACGTAGATGACATGCTTGTAAGCGTGGAAAGCGAGCAAGAAGCAGTGGACCTCGCACGGGATGTAAAGAAAATTCACCATGAAGCCGGCTTTGAAATGAGGAACTGGATCTCAAATAGCCCGGATGTTTTGGAGGCGTTACATGAACGAAATACGGAAGAGAAGGACCTTAATATGGCAGAAGGAGTGATAACCGAGAAAGTGCTCGGAATGTGGTGGAATACGTCCACTGATTGTTTCACCTTCAAGGTTTCTCCACGGTACGATCCTGAGCTAATGTCGGGGCAGCGGACACCAACGAAGCGCGAAGTGCTCAGAACCTTGATGATGATCTTCGATCCTTTAGGACTCATTGGCCACTTCTTGATGTTCCTGAAGGTGGTACTGCAGGAAATTTGGAGAACATCCGTCGGATGGGATGACCCGATCGAAGAAAAACAGTTTGAGATGTGGATGCAATGGCTGAAGGTCCTTCCTGAAGTGGCAAAGGTAGAAATCCCGCGGTGCTACAGGACGGCTACATCTGTTGGAGGTTCCAACGAAGTACAAATGCACATCTTCGTCGATGCTAGCGAGAAGGGTTTCGCGGCGGTGGTGTATCTGCGATTCAAGGAGGGGCCCATCATCGAAACTGCGCTGGTTGGATCGAAGACTCGTGTTGCACCAATCAAATTTCTGTCGATTCCGCGCTCGGAGCTTCAAGCTTGCGTTATCGGAGTCAGGTTTGCGAACAGCATAGCACAGTCACTGTCTATCAAGGTGAATAGACGCTACTTCTGGACGGATTCCAGTGACGTCATCAGCTGGCTCAAATCCGATCATCGTCGGTATAGCCAATTTGTTGCTTTCCGAGTGAGTGAGATACTAGAAGCTTCGGAAGTTTACGAGTGGCAATGGATCCAAACTAAAAAGAACGTTGCTGATGATGGCACGAAGTGGAAACGGGTGCCTGACATGACTAGAACTAGCCGATGGTTTAACGGACCGGAATTTCTCAAGAACATTGAAGGAGAATGGCCTGTGGAACTACACATCGAAGGACCTACTACGGAGGAACTGCGCCCACATTTGCTCGTTCACGTCAAATTACCGGAGCCAATCATCGACCTCCAAAACTGCTCTAAATGGACTCCACTTGTCCATCGAACTGCATACGTGTTTCGATTCATCGGGAACTTGAGGACATCCAGACCCGAAGAAAGAACTATTGGAGTGTTGACGAGTTCAGAGCTAGCTACGGCTGAAAACTATTTGTACCGGCTTGCTCAGGGAAGTTCTTACCCAGATGAGGTAGCAGTACTATCGGGCATACGAGCGTCGGAAAACTTCACATTAACGATACCGAAGAACAGTTCAATCTATCATCTTTGTCCGTTTCTAGACGAACATGATGTACTCCGCGTTCGTGGTAGAACCATCAGTTGTCCGTTTGTTAATCAGGATGCGGTGAATCCTGTTATTCTTCCACGAGACCACCACATCACCCGTCTCGTCATATCCCACTACCACAGCAAATATCATCATCAAAACCATAACACAGTTATCAACGAGCTGCGGCAGCGATACAGCATCCCTCGTCTGAAGGCTGCCTACAACAGGATCCGTCAATGCTGTCAGCAATGCAAGAACGACCGTGCACGACCGCAACCACCGGCTATGAGCGACTTGCCTTTACCTCGCTTGGCCGCCTACGCTCGTCCGTTCACTTACATGGGGGTGGACTACTTTGGACCGTTTGTGATTATCCTTGGACGACGTCTCGAGAAACGTTGGGTACTTCTCGCCACTTGCCTTACCACTCGTGCCATCCACTTGCAAATCGTTCACACAATGACTACCGACTCTTGTATTATGGCACTGAGAAACGTCATGGCTAGGAGGGGGGTACCTGCAGTCGTGTATAGTGACAGAGGTACAAATTTCCAGGGAGCCAGTAAAGAACTCCAAGAGGCTATGGAGAACTTGGATCGAGATCGTCTAGCGGCGGAGTTCACCACCTCCCATACGTCCTGGTATTTCATTCCTCCCACTTCACCGCATATGGGTGGAGCATGGGAACGTCTCGTACGAACTGTCAAACAGAACCTTGGTAAACTGAAACTCAACAGAACGCTGTCCCATGAAGTCCTCGAAAACATGCTAACGGAGATAGAGAATATCGTCAACTCTCGTCCGCTAACTAGCATTCCAATCGACGATGACCAGTCACCGGTGCTAACTCCCAATCATTTTTTGCTGGGATCAAGCAATGGACTAAGGCCTTGGGTTCCGTTTGACGACAGCTCTGAAGTGCTCAAGAACTGCTGGAAGCTTTCGCAAACTTTAGCCAACCAATTTTGGAAGCAGTGGCTTCGGGATTATCTTCCCTCAATCACTCGAAGGACGAAATGGCTCACGGAGGTGAAACCCATCAGAGTCAACGATATCGTTGTCATCGTGGACCCGAAACTTCCTCGGAACACTTGGCCTAAAGGCCGAGTTATTGGGATAAAGCAGGGATCGGACGGACAGGTGCGAAGTGCTACTGTGCAGACTTTCGGTGGCATCTACGAGCGACCAACTGTGAAGCTTGCCGTGCTCGACGTAGGCGCTGGAAGCAATGCGCATCAGGATGACCAGAAGCCCATTCCGGGGGGAGTGTTGGTTGCGCTACGTTGACGAGCCCGTTAAGCCCCACACGCCCCACACAGTCGACGTAGATGGTCGAATCCATCCACACCCATCGTACGTACGGAGGATTGTTTTGTCTATGGGACAGTGGGAAGACCAGAAGAAAAAGAACAGAAGCTATTGTTCGAAGTTTTTCTGTGCACTTCAACCGGCTTACGAATAATTATTACTAAATTACCTAGTGCTGAATACCTAGTGAATTCTTAAATTAAGTAAAATACACAATCTTATACTAGTGAATTATCGATTGAGTTCGGGCAGAAAATATTTTTTGCTACTGCAGGTTAATAACGTAAAGCGGTATAACTAAATCTTAAACTAATTATAAAATTACCTAGGAATATTGCGATACGGCCTAAGAAAAGACCGAGAAAGGTGCTTAAACTACGTTAAATCGACAAGTGAAGGTGAAAATTAAACTAAAAATGTTGGTTTAAGCTTATGAACTACAGTTATGATCTAATTAGACACAGGAAATACAGCTACAACTTGGACAGAACATTTAGACTAAAACGTTGAGCGGTATAGAATCACTACAAGTAAGGAACGATCTCATACTCAATCTAATTACAAATAATTTCAAATATGACATTTATATTAGGAATTTTGTAATTCAATAAAACTGAATACATTGAATTGACAAAATCTCGATTCGCTTGCTACCGCACAACATACCCTATAAGCATTCTCTGCACACAGTCGTATATTCACACGCTGTCTGTCTGTTTGTCTATTTATCTACCTTACTCGCTGGTGTCTGCTTCAGCGATCCGAAGCCATCAACCAGGCCAGGGATAGGGATTTGTCAATAGCTGTTTACATTTTACCATCCATTGTGTGACCTTTTCTGCAAATGCAATTATTGTTGCTAGAGACCGTTCGAAAGTTTAAACTGTTGCTAATACTAAGCTTATTTCTGTGGGTAGGTGAGTTTTTCTTCGCTCTGAGAAAACGACCCATGTTAGTGATCTGAACGAAACACTTCACTATGGTTATTATGCTGCACATTAACGAGCTATTTTTGGTATAGGGATACTGTTGTTAAGACTAAAATCGAGGCCCCTAAAATGTTGAAAAAATGAACGATATGATTGTGTTTCCAACAACACATTTAAATATAAACCTTCAATATTTATCACATCGTTCGAAAAGTTTTAAATTACGTTTCCTATTATGAAGCAATATTTTGAGCTTGTTTTTCTTTTCTATAACTTCGAGGGAAAAAAGGTTTTTTATTAATGCTTTAAATATCTGGATGATATTTGTTCATTTTCTTAGGTGTATGAGGGCAAATTTAAAATGCATCTGGCATGGATTAATTGTATTTATTTACTTTCATTTTTGTGTGGACCGGATTGGACCTGAGTAACCAATTTAAACCAGTTCAAAAAACAAAAGTATTTTCTTTTTATTTATGCTTAAGACGCATTTTAGTGGTCCTAACAATCCCCCAGCTAGCAAGGTATAAATAGAAATGAGTTTGCTTTTACAATTTCTTTATGGGCACTGGAGGGTTGAAGAAAAAATAATGGCATTCAATGTTGCAAGCCGTGTCCGAAGAGGCGAATTAACTAACTTTCATGTAGGGTAAATGATGACTTCGGCACACATTGACTGTTTTCGGTAATAAAAATTTAAACTTTAATTTCGCTGTATTTTCTCACTGAATGTAATTAAACGATTCATTAGTCTTTCAATTTCAATCTGATTACATTTTTACGACTGAGCAAACGAGTGATTTCGACTTGCCGATAATAAAACAGCTGGTTCAAATGGAAAGGTTGCCGTGGAAAAAGAGGCTGCCGACAATAATCATACTCACCTGAGAAGTTTGAAGCGTTGTAAAAACGTTTTCAACCCGTTTTTGACAATTCTGTCGGTTAGAATGGATTAAATAGGTAGCAGCAGATAAGTGTGAACAAACAAATAGGTCATATGTGTGCGTGACGCCTACATCCGATTTTGTTTCACCAAATGTTAGTTTGGATGCTAGCATCCCTAAATTGGTTGGTTTTAAAATATTCTGTCGGGGGAAATTCTTGGAGCATTTTTGCTTGGGGAGATTTTGGCTCTTCAGAGCCATAACTTATTATTTGTATGGAAAATTATGACAAATTTTCCCCGACAGAATATTTTAAAATGAACCGATTTAGGAATGTGAGGTCCCAAACTAACTTTTGACGAAGACAAACCCGATGTACAGTTTATGGCAAGGAACTTAGAGACGATGGCAGAAACGTACATCAGACTGAAGGCTGAAGCTAAGCGGATTGGACTTGCCATCAACGCATCGAAGACTAAGTATATGAGAGGAAGAGGTTCTAGGGAAGACAATGTCAGCCTCCCACCCCGTGTTCAGATTGAAGGTGACGAAATCGAGGTGATCGACGAGTTCGTGTATTAGGGCTCACTGGTGACCGCCGAAAATGATACCAGCAGAGAAATTTATTGACGCATTATGGAAGAAAATCGTGCTTACTTTGAACTCCGGAGGACGCTCCGGTCGAATAAAATTCGCCACTGCACAAGTTGACTATCTACAAGACGCTGATTCAACCGGTGGTCCTCTATGGCCACGAGACCTGGACTATGCTAGTGGAGGACCAACGCACCCTTGGTGTTTTCGAAAGGAAGGCGTTGCAACACTGTTCTTCAACTAGGCATAATCTCAGTAATTGCTTGTAATATGTAAATAATTGAGGCGAATTAGCGATATTTTATAATAATAAACGGTAATCGCACCCTTATTGTTGTAAAGTCCATGAAATGAAACACAATGAATCCATCGATCCCCATGTGTTATTCAGAGAAAGACGATTAAACGTCAACAGCTGTATAATTCAAGACTAACATTTGAAAAGGGCGGATATCCAAAGTCACCGAAGTGAAAACCAAAAAATAAACCCCATTTATAGAATTATAATTTTTTGGTTAATTTAATAAGTTTAAAATATAGGGGAAATGGCTCCAATGTTGGCCTATGGATCTAATATTGGACCCATCGCTAAAAATCTGCTATTTATTAATTTTATCTAGATGAACGCGTCATTGGGACGGTACTAATGGATAATTTTGGTCGCTATTGAAAATTTAGTCGATTGCTGAATTTATGTATGGGCCCAAATTAGGGGCACTTAGGCCAACATTACATCAATTTCCCTTAGTTAATAGTGTTATCTATGAGCATTCACCCCTAGAAACGTGAAAAAAAAATTTGACGTGAAATTGAGAACATCACACACCCTGATAATTTCTTACATGTTGTTACTACCTGATTTTCCATCCTCTGAACACTGGTGATACGCTGTGGAAATACACCATCAGGATTATTTTTGTTTGTTGTTACGCCTAGTAGTCCTTTATACAGAGATTCGCCGTAATATTATCAGGTGATTTGGCAACGTTATTTGTTTCGTTTACAAAAGCTTAGATTTTTGTTACGTAAACAATAACGATTCGTAAAATTAGCTGTATGGTCTGAACTTGGAAGTGACGTACGTAACATCACTTTTTACCAACAATAATTGCATTCAAATTGATTGCAAAATGTACAAAATCTTCTATTTGTACTTATATTTAGTTCGGAGGCGAACCAGCCCCAGGCTGAAAGCCTCCCTAATAAAGGAAACCTAACTTAACCAGATATTTAGCCATTGCAAGTAGTATTATTAGGTTTGTAAACTCTTTGCGTACAGCTTAATTGAGGTTAGGGAGACACTACTGGAACTTGGTAATAATCTAACTAAAAATTAATAATGGAGCGTCATTGCCATGGTTTGCAACAACTGCAGAACACCAAACAACCAAGTTACTCTATTTGAAACATTTTTCCGACATTTAAAAAATCGATTTAATCAGTGAATCGATTATTTCTTTAAAAAGTAGATCGATTCAAGTGAGATATTTTTTACTTAGATACTTTCAAGCTTCTAAAAAAAAAATACTCGAAGAATGGAACAGAAGCTTCTGAACGAGGCTTCTGAGCGATGAAAGAAGCTGTTACAGCAGTATTTTTTTATAAAAGCAAACAATTCTATAACTTATTCTACAAACAAGAAAAATAGCTTCTAGATTAAGCTTCCAGAATGAATCTAGGAAGAAGATAATCTTCTACAAAGAATCTTTCAGAGAGAAGCTTCTGCAAGAAGGGATTCGCTATCATCCACACACGATAGTCAAGGCAAGAATTTAATATTTGTTCAATAGTGTGCTATTGATAAACAATTATAATTTTATTACCAAACATATCTTAAATCAAATCTAATTCATTTTCATTTCCATTTTGCAGCGTTTGGTGGGGTAATGGGATAGCAAGTCAATCCAAAGCCAAGGATAAAGGAAGGGTAATGGCTGAATAGTATATGCGGACCACTTGGACGCCATTGGAAGGGATTGGAGATGTCGGTTATTGGTTTTTTTTTAGGAAATGACACATAGTACTAGATTTGTGCTGCAAAATGTAAAGAAACTGAAAATCCATATCCCTCTGATTCATCCTTTCACATATATACCAAATTGATATTTTAAAGCAACTATCAAAATAAACAGACAACACATGAAAAGGCTAGTTGCCTCCCTAAGCGGACCCCCGCATCCTAACTCTTTTGTTAATCCACTTAAGTTCATTTGATGATTATGATATCTCATTAGTCTAATTTAATAAATAATTGAGATCTCTAACCCACCTACTCAATTATAACCCTTGCTTAATTAAATACCTGCACTTGTGCTTGTGATCTAAAATTAAACGTGTTTCAATTACTATTGACTTTGACCAATATTTACTATACATATCTTAGTTCGACCCAGGTGATACCTTCAAGTGACTAAAATGCTTCACTTTGAAGTTAGTTTCCTAGCTGGTTTTTAAATTACATAGGGTATATGCTCCAACTACGCTCACACGTTTCCACTATGTCGCATCACAAAAATACGAACGGGTATGTCACAATAGAAGGACGCCACAATGGAAATCCCGAGCCATAGTT